CTCTCTGATCTTTCCAAGTCCCTGTGATCTTTCACCATCAAAGTAAAGGTTTACCAGGCAGCCTTTCTGGTTCAAACAACTATGGCCCCTGAAACACACTAACCCACATTTACAAATATACAGACATCCTATGGAACTTTCCCCTCCCCATCAGCCTTGATTAAGGGGGCTACAATCATAGTAAAAATGGAAATCCACAGATAATCTAAAGGTTTGTCTTGGGGCTATATTTAGCCCTGTCTCAGTTCTTTAGACCTCTGTCTGAATTCCTTAATGAAGGAGTCAACTGATCAAAGGCAAACTCCTCATATTAAAAAAGACCCAAACTAGCTATGATACACTATTAGATATACAAACATCTGCAAATTATTTAAACATCTCAGGGCTACAGGCTCCCCATCTGGAAAACAGGAATAATAATACCTCTCCCAGAGTTGCTATGAGAATGAATACTACGGGATTTTGAGTTGTTAATTATGGTATGATTAAATAAATAGAGTTTTATCTCTTCTCTGTGTTCTGACTCCAAATCTAACACTCATCCCACTGCGTACTACTAGTACAGTCAGAGGTCTGGGGTTCAAATTCTCATGCTGCCCCCGTGTGACCTAAGGGAAGTCGCTTGGGTTATCTGGGCCTCAGGAACCCTATCTATAAAAGGGATAGGGTAGACCTGAGGATCACTAAGTCCCTCCCATGATTCTAAGTTCCTCTTTTCCTAAGGTGAAGAAAATGTCCAGAATGATGGCAGAAGGCAAAAAAGCGGGTTAATCCACAGCAAAGATGGCCAGCCCCTGAATAACAGGATCCAGAAACTTCTAAGCCCAATAACTATGTCGCTTTCAGAGAAAAAAACTATGGGCCAGAAGTCAGAAGAACGAAGCTCTAGTTCTGGCTCTTCCACTTGACTACCCTTGTGATCCTCTGCAAGCTAGTGAAGAACCTCATTCTTCTCACCAGTAAAACAGAAACAAGGATATCTGTCTTGCTTACCTAAAGGATGGATCAAATGAAATCACAAATGTGAAAGTGCTCTGAAAACTACAGAGCACTAGACAATGGAAGGTAGTATTACGTGACTGGGATAGTTCAGTAAGCCACACAAACAAGAAAATGCACAGCTTTGTTTTAAACCTATCTACCTGGCTTCTAACTTCACCTCTACTCACTTCATAGTTACAGCTATGGGGGCTGACACATTAACTCTGAAAATGGCCCCACAGAGCAGCACAAGTGAGAGTGGATAAAAACCAAGGTCCTGGTCAATGAAATTTGTCATAGGAGAATGAACTGTACAATAAGAAATAGGTCACTGACTCTACGCCTTATTTGGGAAGAATGCTGAAGCACACATTGCATCCCTTAGAGTTCTCTACCATTTTAAGGGCTGAAAAGCAGGGTAAAAAGCAATGGATGGATCTGTCCTTTCCTGATGCAAATGTCACATGCTAACCAAAAATAATTCAGACCTGCAAATATTAGCAATACTTGTTTCATAAGCAAATATGACCATGTAGAGCTTTTCTCTGGAACTGGATTGTCAATGCAGTACTGATTCTACATGGTACAAGTTTAAATTCAAATGACCAATGCTAGCCATCAAATACACACCAAACCTGTCATTCTACTACATCCACAATCTGACTCCCTCCTAAGTATCACACACCAGCTTCAACCCTCATGCAAACACTGCATATCTTGTATATAACCTGTCTGTACATAGTTGTTTGCATGTTGTCTCTCCCAGTAGACTGTGAGCTGGTGGAGAGCAGGGACCATCCTTTGCCTTACTTTGTAGCCCCAGAACTTAGCACAATGGCTGGAACGTAACACTTAATAAACACTTACTGACACTCAATTTTTCAAAGCCACATAAGTGGATTATATTATATTAGTTGTCCTAAGGCTCTCTGTCCATTTTTGTCTTTTCACAGCCTTGATACAAATATATCCTAAGTTTCTCATATACAAACCCTGTGATGTCCCCTAATGCAGCCTCTACACATGTAAACTAAGCCCCAAGTCCCTCCCAAGTACATATCTTTATTCTCTGTGACCTTCAGAAACAAAGTCTGGCCACTCCATACGCGTACTGTAATTCCCTATAATCCTCATAAACATTCCTTGACTCCCTGTGACCCAGTCTCCAGGCATACGACCAGGACTCCCCGTGACCCACTCCCATGAATATAACCCTGGTTGCCTATGATGTTGTACCATGCATATATCTTGATTCAGTGACCCTCCCCATGCATACTCTCTGTAATGTCACATACACACTGACTCCCGTCATACTGTGACCCAGCTCCTGCCCATAAATACCCTCATTTCCTGTGAAGTTCTATGAATATAACCTGAACATACTCTGGATTTCTAGTACAAATCCTAACTTGTTCTGTCTCCTATACAAAGGTACTGACTCCTTGTAATTACCACATATACACTCTGACTTCTTAACAACCTCTAACCCCTATATATAAAACCTACACACTGCCTATGACCTTTATATATGTTGCCCGAGTCTCGCATAAGTCTCTACTTTGCTGGTGACTCCTTCCCCACCCTATACGTACAGCCTCCCAGAAACCTTCATGCACATACACCCTGATCCTCTGAGTGACCTTCTTTATCTACATATACACCTTGACCTCCCAGTAACCTTTATGAACACTCAAAGCTACCACTGACCTGTGCACATGCTTTCCCTTCCCAAGGACCTATATGGTCCCTAAATAGACAATATGCATCCTTATGAAGTTCAGACATCAATTCTCAGTGAAACCAGGATACAAAAGTTGTGAATAGCCTGATCTCCCATGGAAACACTCTACCAGAGACCTCCATGAATAATCACTGCATATACACACCCTTACTTCTTATGCTACCCATGCAAACACTGAATGCCATACACACAGCCTGCTTCCTTGTACCCTAGAAACAAAACCTCCATATCACACAGCTGAACGCATTATACATGTACCAAAAGGACCCCCATGTACACACCTGTCTCCAAGTGACACATTCCCCTTCTCACACACACACACACACACACACACACACACACAAATACATACACTGAGAATCAGAGTTGGAATACCTGACCAAGATTACCCTCTACACCATTTCCCAACGAGCAGATGGATATCGATGGGCTAGAGAAGAGCTCCCTATCTCCTGGGTAAGCCGATTCCATCTTTGGTTAGCTTTAATTATTGGAAAGTTTTTTTTCCAGGTATCAGACCTCAATCTATGTCTGTCTACCCATTCCTTGTTCCCAGTTCTGCCCTCTGGGGGCCAGGTAGAACAAGTCTGATTGCTCTTCCATGTGACAGCCTTTCAGATACTTGAAGATAGCTTTCATGTCCCTCTCCCATCTAATACACCCCCAGTCCTGTCTTCTTCAGGCTAAGCAACCCCACTTCCTTCAGTGGATCTTCATTTGGTATAAATGGTCTCTCATCTCTTTACCAACCTGTCTGCACGTTTATGGTACCAGTTTCTGAGTACCCATTCTAAAATATGGTACCCACAACCAAAACATAAAGGACTCCCTATGACACCCAAATACACACCCTTATTTTCTGTGATCCCACACTCAGAGCTCTGGCTCCCTGTGACCTCTTCGCATTTACACTCCAGGACTCCCTGTAACTCCCTCGAAAACACACTCTTTATCTCCCTGTGTCACCCTTGAACATTCCTTGACTGCCTGTGATTTCCATGCACATGCCCGTGATAGTCTTGCTCAAAATCCTGGGCTCCCTATGACCATCCTCTAGGCACACTTCCTGAGACCAATCCCATGTACACTTATTTTGACTCCCAGTGACCCCTAAGCACACTGCCCATGACAACTCTGAACACTTGATGCATACACTCCTTGTGACCCCTACTTTGCACACACTCCCTGTCTTCCCTAGTGAGCCTCTCATGCACACAGCTGTTTCCGGTGACCCCCCATGCACATGCTTCCTGTGTGATCCTCCCATGCACAAGGCCATGTCTCCTTGTGTGATCTCCCATTCACACACACACTTCCTGTCCCCCTGCATGACCCTCCCCATACACACTCCCTGTTTCCCCATTTCCCCTCTATGCACACACACTCCCTTATTCCCTGGGTGACCCTCCCTATCTCCAAGTAACCCTCTGCACATATTTCCCTATCTCTCTGTGACCCATCCATGCACATACTCCCTATCTCCTTGTGTGACCCCCCCATGCACAAACAGCTTATTCCCCTGTGACCTGTAAAGCACACACTCCCTGTGTGACCTCCCCATGCATACACTCTCCATCTCCCCGTGCAAACACTCCTGTGACCTCCCCCCATGCACAAACTGTTATTCTCCCATGTACACACTCCCTTTCTCCTTATGTGACCCCCCCATGCACACTCCCTGTGTGATCCCCTCATGCACACACTCCTAGTCCTCTGTGACCTCCCCTGTACACACTCCCTGTGACCCCCATGCACAAACTCCCCTCCACTATGTGACATATGCACACATTCCCATGATTGCCCCCATGCACACTCCCCATCTACCTATGTGACCCCTTGCACACACTCCCCATCTCCCTATGTGACCCCATACACACTCCCGTGAGCCCCCCATGCACACACTTCCTGTGACCCCATGCACACACTCCGTGTCCCCCCATGCACACACTCCCTTGTCTCCCTCTGTGACCCCATGCACACACTCCCTGTGACCCCCCATGCACACACTCCCCGTCTCCCTCTGTGACCCCATGCACACACTCCCCGTCTCTCTCTGTGACCCCATGCACACACTCCCCGTCTCCCTCCGTGACCCCATGCACACACTCCCGTGACGCCCCCATGCCCCGCACCCCTCCCCCTCCTCACCAGGACCCCAGCCTCTCCCCGGTCCCCGCCCGCCCTCCAGCCTCGGGCGCGGTTGGGCCCTGCTCGGCCTGGGCTGAGGGGCCTCCCCGCCCGGCCCGGCCCGGCCCCGGCCCCTCGCCCGCAGCCGCACCGTTGGCGATAAGCTTGGCCGACAGCTGCTTGCAGAGCTCAGGGATCCGCTCCCACTGGCACTCGGAGCGGCAGCGCTCGATCTCCGTCTCCAGCCGCGAGCCCGCCTTCTTGGTCGCCATCTCGGGCGTCGGGCCTCGGGCCCCGGGCTCCCCGGCCCCGGCCCCGCAGGCCCAGACGCCGCCGCCGCCGCAGCCGCGGGCTCCCGGCTCCGGCTCCGCGGCGTAACGGGAGCAGAGCGGAGCGGGGGGGGGCGAGGGGCGGGCGGGGAGAGCGGCGGCCCGGGCAGCGACCCCTGCCGGCCAGGGGCGGCACCGCAGCGCGGCCGAGACCCCGCGGGGCGCCGGGGGGAGGAGGAGGTCCCGGGTCTCCCCTGACAGCCGAGCAGTGGGAGGGGCGGGGAGAAGAGAGTTCAAAGGTGTGAGGCTGCGCGGGGAGCATCCACAGTTGCACGCCTTCCAAACTGAGGCTCTCAACCTGGAGTGCGCAGGGCATGGGAAAGACATGAACTTGGATTTGGGGGAGGGGGGTGAGAGGGTGTTAAATATTTTGTATTTTTTTAATTTTAAAATTTTTGATAAATTTATTTCAATAAAATTGGTTTCCTTTGTATTCCTCTGTATTTTAATTTATGCATTTAAAAACATTCCTGTGAGAAGGGGTCCATAGGTTTCACCAAACTGCCAAATCAACATTTATTAAGCACAACATTTATTGTACCAAGCAGGAGGCAGCTAGGTGACTCAGTGGATAGGGCACTGGGGCTGGAGTCAGGAAGACCTGAGTTCAAATTCAACTCAGATACTTACTAGCTGTGTGACCCTGAGCAAGTCACTTAACCGCTGTTTTCCTTAATCCACTGGAGAAGGAAATGGCAAACCACTCCAGTGTCTTTGCCAAGAAAACTGCATGGAGAGTGTGATCTGAGGGGTCATGAAGAGTTGGACAAGGGCTGCTCATCCACCTTTGGTGTCCACCTGTCACCCAACTCTCACCTGTGGCTACAACATGCACAGAGACCATCCTCCAGTAAACCATCTTGGGCTAAACCAGGTTAAGGGTAATTGACAGGCCTCAAAACCTAACGGTGAATTAGAGGGAAGTCTACCCCAAACACATGAAGACTTCCCCCAGCAGAATGGGCAGATGAGAACAATTTGTTCTAACAGCAATGAAGACAGCTTAAGCAGGTGCTATGGAGAGCTTAGAGCAGGGGTGGGGAACCTGCAGCCTCGAGGCCATACGTGGCCCTCTAGGTCCTCAAGTGCAGCCGTTTGATGGAATCCAAACTTCACAGAACAAATCCCTAAACTTCACAAAACAAATACCCTTAATAAAAGAATTAGTTCTATAAAACTTGGACTCTGTCAAAAGGCTTCACCCAAGGACCTAGAAGGCCACATGTGACCTCAAGGCTGCAGGTTCCCCACCCCTGGCTTAGAGATTTGTCAGATGTTGAAGATATAAACATCATCCACTGCATCCCAGATCACAGACAGTCGTCTTGACTTTTGTTCTGACACTGGACTTCCAGAACTCTGAAAGACAAAACAAGGCTGAAGACTTTGTGCAGATCTGCCTCACTTAAATCTAATTCACACACAGATCAAGACATTACCCCATGAAGTCACTGGTCCTCTTTAAAACAAAGCTCTGAACAACAACTATGTGCCAGACACAGAGCAAAGCACTAGGGACACAAAGAGGCAGAAAATATTACCTGCCCTCAAGGAGCTTACAATCTAATGTGGGAGACAACATGCAAACAATATATACAAAGCAAGCTATACCCTGAATAAATAGGAAATAATTAACAGAGGGAAGGCACTAGAATTACAAAAAAAGTGAAAAACTCCTGCTTCAAATATCCTCGTATCTAGGAAGAGGAACTGGATTGAGCCTTGGCAATTCAATTCAAAGCAGTAGATGTGCTATGTGCAAGACACCCGCTTTGTCTAAGATAAAACAAGTGGTCAGTCCCAGTCCTGAAGTCAATCAATCTGTCTCTCAACTAGACATTATTAAGTGCCTACTATGTACCACACACTGTGTTAATCTCTGGACCTATAGGTGAAGGAGAGAGAAAATATGTGTGACAATCCAATTCAAATCTGATCCAAATTACATTTTTTAAAGCCCAGGTAACAAAGATAAAATGCAACTTCTATAGAGGAAGGAAAAAGGACTCAAGATTTTGAGTCATGAGATGAATTCCAATCCAGGCTCTAACCCCTAAAACATGTGAAACATCAACCAAGTCATTTAATGTCTCTGTGCCTCAGTCGACTCAACTGTAAAAACAGGGTCAATAATATATACTTTACCTTCCCCACAGGTTACATCTCTTAAATACTACAAATGTGAGTTGTTAAAATACAACATTTGATTGATTTGTTTTCACAAATACATAGTAAAATAATATGAACTAAGTATTATCTGCTATCTAAGGAAAAAGGAGAAATAACTCTGGGCTTGGGGGAATCAGGGAAGGTTTCACTAAGGAGGGAGCTCTTGAATTGGGACCTTGAAGGATCTTAATAGGCAGAGATGGGAAAAGGGGATAAGTAAGGGGGAGATAGATACCACAGGCAAAGATGCCCTTCTGAAAAGGTATGGTAAAGGGCAGGATAAATCTATGGTACAGTGAGATTGGCAGGCATGAGTCCATTCCAGCAGAGTTAGGACTGGGCATAGGCATGGTGGACTGTATCAGTCTCAAGAAGCAGACATCCCACACTTGTCACTATTCCTTACCAGGTAGGTGCTCATTTCTCTGACACAGTGGTGGACCCTCCAAAATCACTAAGAGCACATTTCCTTAGCTCTAAGAATTACTGAAGAATAGGGATTGCATTTAGCTGACCTTACCTCCCATACTTAGCCCAAAGTCTTTAATCTTTAAAAAACAAGTCTAAGTTACTAGTAGGACAGGTGTTCCTTTCCCCATTTTACAGATGAATAACCAAAACTTTCCTTTAAATACAATTTCTATGATGAGCAAGCAGATTTCAGAAAAACATGAAAAGGCTTATATGAACTGATGCTGAGTGAAGTGAGCAGAACCAGGAGAACATTGTACACAGTAACAGCAACATTGTGCAATGGCTAACTTTGTTAGACTTAGCTCTTCTGAGCAACGCAATGATCTAAGACAATTCCAAAAGACCCATGATGGAAAATGCTATCCACATCCAGAGAAAGAACTATGGAGTCTGAATGCAGATCAAAGCATATTATTTTCACTCTGGTTTTTTTTCTTGTTTTTTCCCTTTTGTTCTGATTATTCTTTCACAACATGACTAATGTGGAAATATGTTTAGTACAATTGCACATGTATAGTCTATATCAGATTGCTTGACATCTTGGGGAGGTGAGAAAAAAAATTTGGAACTCAAAATCTTATAAAAATGAATATTGAAAACTATCTTTACATGTAATTGGAAAAAATAAAATACTATTAAGTAGAAAAATAAATAATTAAAATTTTTTAAAAATATATAATTTCTAGCTCTAAAAAGGGTCCCAGTCATACAACCCCTTCCTTAATACCAGTCTCAGCATTTCATTCAGACTGAACCTCGTAATTCTAATCTTAATTAAAGCACAGTAGATCTCCAGTGCCTGGAATTTTTACTGGAAAATCTTTCTTTCTTTCCATCGGGATTGAAATGTTCTTCTTACTTTAATGCCTTAAAAGATTTATGATTTCATCAGTGTGGGTGTTCTCTCTATGGAGATAGATTATAACCTCTTCCTGATTCTAGTAGGTGATCTTTATGAGTTGCTGGAACCAGAAAAATCCATCACCAAGTGGTGATGATGAACCCCCTTCCAAACTTAGCAAGACTTGGTTCTAGCTATCATACAGTCTATCACATCACTGAACCCAGAATCAAGAGGTGTGAAGAGTGTGTTGAATTCTATGGTAGCCTTAAAGAAAACAAATTCACTTCCATGTACAGAGACATGATGCTGGAGAACTATATAGGAACCTTCTCTGCCTGGCAGCCTTCGAACCCTGGCAATGTCTCCAATCTGTGTCCTTTCTTTTGATTGGGACCTTCATAAGGTGACTGGGCCGTGCTCACTTCATTCCCTTCTCTACTATTCGTTATTCTCCATGATTCTCTGAACCACCCACCCAAAAACATAATAAATGTTTAATAAATGCTTTATCCATCTGGCATTAGAGGAAGACTTTAATGTTAGAGATACAGGGGGTGTTTCTATAGCATGCTTCATCGCTGTGGGGAACCAAGGAGCTTCCCAGAAGTTCCATAAGTGGACACAAAATTGTGAAACACCAGGAAGTGATGAGATCTGTATGGGGACATATAGGTCTTAGGGCTTCCTTTTTCCTTTCTGTTGCCTTTAAAAGAGACTTCCTGATAGCCAGGTGGGTGGTGGCAGTCACTGATCGCAGTTGCTGCTGCAGCTCAAGATGGGAGCAGCATGACCCTTAAGAAAGACTTTCTGGTCACCGTGTAGGACAAAACCAGGGAGCTACTGTAGCAAACAAATGAAGACATTGAGAGTGGGACACTGGGCAGTGGCAGTTACTGATCAACACTGCTAGCACGAGCCAAGACTCATTTCACCAATGGTCAGGACCAGTTTGACTGGAGTGGGGTGGAGGGGAGCCTTAAGCCCGGTGACCGGTATTTAAACAATCCTCTTCTTACAGAAGACAATGGAAATCAGCACAATGAAGATGAATCCATAGTCAAGGGAACTGACAGTTGTTGAAATCCCATCAACTGACAAGATGGAAGGAAGGCAGATCTCTGCCCTCTGGACTTTCTTCCCCACACTTCTCTTTAAATATAATTCCTAATCCCAAGGGGGTCCCAGACATACATTGTTGTTGCTCAGTCATTTCAGCTGTGTCCAACTCTTTGTGACCCCATTTGGGGTTTTCTTGGCAAAGATACTGGAGTGGTATTCTATTTCCTTCTCCAGCTCATTTTACAGATGAGGAAACTGAGGCCAAGAAGGTTAAGAGACTTGCTCAGGTAGTAAGTATCTGAGGCCAGATTTGAACTCAGGAAGATGAGTCTTCCTGATTTTGGGCCTGGCACTCTATCCACTGTACCACCTAGCTGGCCCAACCCAACCCCAGCCC